TGCTGAAGAGCAATCACTGGAAATATGGGGCAGATTCTTCCCACTCCCTAGAGCTGGGCTCACTGGAATTGGTATTCATATATACATTTGATATTTAATTTTTTTAATGCTAAATTTTAAAAGATTTTTTAGACGACGAGTATATATTTGGACGATCTGAAGACTGTGATTATTGCTTTGAGAGAAGAGGAGGCACGTCCAACCAGCACTACCCCACCTACTCCAGCACTCATTTCAGAATATACAGAGTGAGAATAAAAGAGAGAACGAGAGACAAGGGGAGAAAGAAAGGTTGGGGAAAACAAGAAAAATGGATGAGAAATTGAGAATCATAACATGATACAGTGTACATGGAGAAAAGGATATTTTTTGTTTATAGGAAAGGAGCAAAACTGATTCGAATCAGTTTGTTGTGTTTCTTCAAGATAAAAGGTAAGTTTGATATATTTGTATTCATAATGATCATCATTTCTCTTTTTTTATCCTTTCTCTTAGCTCTAATGGTACTTTTATTAATGGCGATAAAATTGGTAAAAATAAGACCCATATCTTGAACAACGACGATGAAATATCACTCTCAGTCAAAAACAATAAAGGTAAGTGCTTTCTCATTATTAATAGCCACACCTCCTTCTCCTTGTAGTGTTTGTGTTTAATGATAGAAGTGTCTCAGAACAAAACAACAATTTACCAGAAGTAATAATAATAATAATAATATTATTAATTAATAATTAGGAGTTTAAAGACAAGTACACAATGTCAAAGCAAATAGGAAAGTAAGCAGTCATTCTTAAATACAATATACATCTTTAATTTGTTTCTTCAGAGGAGCTTGTGGTATAGTCAAGTTAGCATTTCACAGAGAAACGTGCAAAGGCTATGCTATCAAGATTATCAGCAAGAAGATGTTTTCAGTTGGAGTATGTTGCATGTATAGTTACCCTATCCTCCCTCTCTCTCTCTCTCTCTCTCTAGCCTCATCTTGGTAGAGCTGCTATGGAAGAAGTCAAAATAATAAAGGCACTGCAACATGTTAGTGTAGTCAAATATATTAAATATTATCCACGGGGTAATAGTAAAGATTACTTAGTTTAATAATAATGCAAAAATCTAAACATTTATTATTATAGAGACTAGTATCATAGTTAATAATAATAACAGTGTCAAGAATAGTAACTGCTTTAATTTATTTTACCCACTGCTATTGCTTTTTTTCTTCTTAGCCGTGCATAATTCGAGTTGAAGATTTATACGAGTCGACTGATTCACTTTACATTGTACTTGAACTGTGAGTGACAACTATTAGTCTGTTTCTAAGTAATGCCCACCCACCCTACAGTGTCGAAGGAGGTGAACTGTTTGACAGAGTCATACTAAATGGAAAGTTTAATGACAAGGTCGGGAAGCTACTGTTTTATCAAATGGTTGTAGCCGTCAAAGTAAGTAAGGGAGACATGGAAAATGAGTTACTTATTTTTTTGCAGTATCTTCACGATAAAGGTATAACGCATAGGGATCTAAAAGTCAGTATATGTTAGTATATTATTGGTATATTATTAGTATAACTGTAGCCTGAGAATATCCTATTGTCATCTACTGATGAGGAGACTCTAATTAAAGTCACAGACTTTGGACTCTCAAAGTTTGTCGGAGAGCAGTCTCTGATGAAGACACTGTGTGGCACTCCGAGTTACCTTGCTCCTGAGGTATTGTGGGTGGGGTTGATGGGTGTGGTCTGATGGTGTCATAATTAGGTGATCAAGTCGGCAGGTTTGGGTGGATACAGTAAAGCTGTGGACTGTTGGAGCTTGGGAGTTATTCTATACATAATGTTAGCATTTGGAATAATCTGATACTAATGTGTAATTGGCTTATTTTTGTAAATGGCCATAACTCGAATATTTGAGTTCGGAATTAGCTCAAACTTTCTACATAGCATAAGGACTTCAATATGTATCAGAAAATTTAATAAAAATTTTGGGTGATTTTGGAGCCATTTTTTGGAAAAAAAAACCATGGGCTATATAGTACAGGGATTTTTTCAGAAATTGGCCTATTTTTAAAATGACCATAACTCAAATATTTGAGCTCGGAATTGGCTCAAACTTTCTATGTAGCATTAGTACATCAATATGTATCAGAAAATGTAATAAAAATTTAGGGTGATTTCCGAGCCATTTTTTGGAAAAAACCATGGGCTATAGTACAGGGAAATTTTTGAAAATTGGTCGATTTCTTTAGATGACCATAGCTCAAAAATTTCTTGTCAGAATCAACTCAAACTTTCTACATGGCATAAATACATCAATATGCATCAGAAAATGTAATAAAAATTTGGAGTGATTACGGAGGCGATTTTTGGAAGAAAGGATTGGCTATTATAGTAAAGGGTATTTTTCAGAAATTGCTTATTCTTTAAAAATTAATTAGTTACATGTATATTATCACAGGTTAGGAGGGTATCCACCATTTTCTGATGAAATAAGAGAGCACAGTTTACACGATCAAATTTGTCAAGGAATATATTCATTTCCACCTGCTTACTGGAATGGAGTCTCCAAAGATGGTAATCCTATGCTACTCCACTTGTGCTTTAAGCAGTCCTAACTT